GATAGATAGATAGATAGATAGATAGATAGATAGATAGATAGATAGATTCAAAAGATGGCTTCCTTGAAAACAAAGCAGAGGAATTTCTGAAGGTATCAAACCTGCCCCAATTAGTCTAAGATTGGGGTGGGGGAGGGAAACCCTCGGGGCCTTTCTGCCTCCTGCCATGCCCGGACCTCTAGCAAACTGGGGGCGCCGTCGGAAACAACTTGGCGTGCCCCACCCCCCAAGATCTCCCCAAGCCCCTTTCTTTGCACCAACCCACCCCGATGGGCTGAGAGACCCGGCTGCCTCCGCGGGAAAAAGCCCTGTCCGCAAATGGCGCAGACGCCCCTTCCTTCCCCCACCCCCCCAAGGCCCACCTGGGAGGGTCAGGAAGGATGCCCCAAAAGTTTGCGGACCCCTCCCCGCGCGGGGCGCCTTCCCCTCCCTTCCCTGCCCCCCCCATTCCAAGGAGGAGGAGGAGGGGGGCTTCTCGGGGCGTCCCTCCGGCCCTGGAGAGCCGGGTCCCTCCTTGCTGCCGGGGCGAGCTCACCTCTGGGACGTCGGCGCCTTCCCTGCTGCTCGGCCGCCGGCCTGGGGGGGTGGGGGGGTGGCGGGGGCTGGGGGGCGCCTTGCCGCCGCTCTCCCTGCAGCCGACCTCTAGCTCCTCTCCGCCGGCATCGGCACCAGCACTGGGGTGGGGGGGGGGGGGGGGGGGCTGAGAGCGGGCGGGGCTAAGCAGCGGCTCTCCTCCTGCAGGGACCCCCGAGCCGGGCGCACGAGGTGGATTCAGCGCCCGCCGCCGCCGCCTCCTTCTCGGTCCCCATCCTTGCAGGCGCCGGGCTGGAGCAGGTGGGGAGGGAAGGGGGGGGGTGGAGGGGGGGGAAGGGCGAAGAGAGCCCGCCCGCCGCCTTGCAGAGCAACCCTGCCCAGCCCTCCCTGCTAGCGGACGCCCCTGCCCGGGCTCTGCAGCCGGTTCCTTCCTCCGGGGGCTCAAGCGAGGCGCAAAGGTCCTAGATCCGTTGCTGCTCTCGGGGGGGGGGAGGGGGGGGGGGGAGGGGTGCTGCCTGCCAGGAAAGAGACCCTGCCGGAGGAAGGAGGGAGGAAACCCACCGAGACAACGACCCCCACCCAAAAAAAGGCCAGCAAAGTCCTAGTCCTGGAGAAGGTTTGCTTCTGCTTGCAGAGCTTGGGTATCGGGTATCCGAGCTCAAGGGGCCGTTTGGGGGGGGGGGGGGGCTCTTGGGGGGGGGGGGGGGGGGGGGGGTCCCCCCCCCCCCCCCCCCCCCCCCGCCCTTTTCCCCGGGAGAAGGGTTGGGGGGGGGCGGAGTGTCGTGCCTACCTTTCTCTCCCGGCTGTCACCGTATCATGAAGTCATCGGTTGACAAAAAAAGGTGCGGATGCTCCTACTAGACCCGTTCCGCGCGCCTGGGTCGATCTCCAGCTCTTGGCACCCTGTAATTATAGGTTCGGCTTTGAATCTGGGCCGCCGGTTCCGCGGGACGGTGGCTCCCCCTGTAGGGGAGAAGGACAAAAGCCAATTTGCCCCAGGCGAGCAAAACGGGGCCAACAGGGAAACAAGCTGTGGATCCTGCCTTTAACCCAGGTGTTTCCCAATGAGGGGGGCGGGCGGGGGGGGGGGGGGGTGTGCTTGAAGAGGCCGGGGTGAAGGAGAGTCAAGGCCAGGACCGAGCAGCCCCAACTGGGACACCCGGAGGACAAGCGGGGCTCTCTCGCAGTCCCCATTTCCATTCTTTGGGCCATACCTGTGGGCACCTGTGTCGAACTGGGGCTGGCAGCCCTGATTCTAGGTGAGTTGGGGGGGCGGGGAGAAAGCGGCTCCCTCGGCTTGTTAGTGGGAGCCCTTTTTGAATCCGGGTTCTGGTGGACGGGGAGGTGGAGGGCGGGGGAGGGAAAAGGAAGATACCCAGCAAGATGAGGGGGGGAGAAAGAGAGAGAGAAAGAGAGAGAGAGAGGAAGAAGAGAGAGAGAGGAAGAAGGGAGGGAGGGAGAGAGAGAGGGAGGGAGGGAGGGAGAGGAAGAAGAGAGGGAGGGAGAGAGGGAGGGAGGGAGGGAGGGAGAGAGGAAGAAGAGAGAGAGGAAGAAGAGAGAGAGGGAGAGAGGAAGAGGAGAGAGAGGAAGAAGAGGGGGAGGGAGGGAGGAAGAAAGAGAGAGGAAGAAGAGAGGGGAAGAAGAGAGGGAGGGAGGGAGAGAGGGAGGAAGAGAGAGAGGAAGAAGAGAGGGGAGGGAGAAGAGAGAGAGGAAGAAGAGAGAGTAAGAAGAGAGAGGGAGAAGAGAGAGAGGAAGAAGAGAGGGAGGGAGGGAGAGAGGGAGGAAGAGAGAGAGAGGAAGAAGAGAGGGAGGGAGGGAGAGAGAGAGGAAGAAGAGAGAGAGGGAGGGAGGGAGAGAGGAAGAGAGGAAGAAGAGGGAGAGAAAGGGTGGAAGGAAACAGGAGGAATACATGCCAGGAAGCTGCTCTGACCATTCAAACAGGCTTTCTGTTTCCTTTGGTGGCCGCTGGTGGGATTTCCTAGACCAGAGTAGCACTTAGTGGCCCAAAGGGATGGATTTAGTGGGATCCATTTTTTAAAACAATGCTCTTTCAAGGAACTCCAATCTGGTTCTTTCAGCCGGCAAGGAAGGAGGGCTGGGTGGTTTGTTCTGGTTGAAATTCAATTCAAGTCTGTGTTATGACCTTGCCTTTTTTAAAAAGAACTTTCTAAATAGTTTCCCCCCCTCTCACCCCTTTTTTTTTTCTTTGACAATCTATGCATTTCTCTCATCATCTTTTGTGTTTTGCTTGGTTTATCCACCCACCCCCCTTTTCTGTTTATTCCCATTCTTTTAAAGTTCCCATTTAAAGTTTCCCATTCTCTTAACAGTTGCTGGAAAAACCAGGATTTAGGTTAAGGGAGGCAATACAATAAAACCAGTAGTTCTCAGCGGCTTCACGACAGATTCCCCAAGGCTTGAGATTTAAAACATAACGTTTCTTCAAGACTTTGCTGACCCCCTGTGACATCACGGGACGCCCCACCCCAAGGGCCTGGGGACCACCAGTTGAGAACCCACTGTAGTAAACCATGCGTTGGCTTGGATCTCACGCTCCAAGCTCCGTCCCAAGATGGCTTCACAGGCTATTTGAACGGGCTAACCTTGAACCCAAGATTTTGGGCGGAGGGCAACGTCCTGGAGTTGCAAACGGTCCTTTCATCACAGTGTGGGCCCCAATTAAACTAACATCTGCCTGGAATCCACACTGTATAACGGATATTCACACGATTGAGCAAGTTCGGAGCAAGTTCACGTGAGGAGTACTCTACTAATCCTGGTTCTTCAGCAACCACGAGTTATTTCTTCATCCCCTTGAAAAGAATGTCAAGGAAAAGGGGAGGTGGGGGGAATATAAGCCCTGAGTTATAGTGGACCACAGTTCACAAGGCAGCTCCCAGTTTCTGGAAACGGCATCCGTGCAAGTCCAAACAGCTGCGAGTTTTGCAATAAGCTTTGGCCCAAACAACCCACAGCCAATACAAACCCGCATTTTTTCAGGCAACACAGGTACTACACTCGGATTCCAGAAAGGAGTTTGGCATAAGCAATTTCAGGAACGAGATTATCTGGCACCGATATCCCGAGGTTACCTAGTTTTGGATCACGAAACGTCTGCAAAGAAAACAACCAAACTCAGGGAACACCCTCAAGCAAGAGAAGTGGGAGGTTTTATCGGCGTAGCTGCCAGGAACGATGGTCATTTTGAAGGACATTAGGAAGGAAGGGATCTTAACTGCTGACGCACGGACTAGGGCTCAGGAATTATGAAATACCTGGCCCCGACATGACAAGGAAGCTCACTACCCCTGCATAATAAAGCAAAGTTCAACAGAGTTCAGGTATCCCAACGTTGTTTTCCATCTCGACTAGCCAGGTTCACTGACCCCTTTGCCAGCTCCAAAAACATCCCTGCTTCACAAGCTGAGCGTCGGTCCAAACCGTCCTCCCCGGTTTCCCCCAAAATAAATTCTATTTGGATGCTGCTCCTTCGTCTTAACAACCTCAATTGGGCCCAACCTGTCTGTGGTTTAAGCGAGGTGTTTGGTTAAGTTGGCCTCCCCGGCCTACGACTTGTCTTGCCACGGTTGTTAAGCGGATCCCTGCAACTTGTGAAGTTAGTAACAAGGTTGTTGAGTGGGTCCGGCTTCCCCGTGGGGATTACATCAGGGGTGGGATTCTACTGGTTCGCACCTATTCGCTAGAACCGGTTGTTAACATTCTAAGCAGTTCGGAGAACCGGTTGTTAGAAGAAATTACTGGGCTAATCCTGTAAGGAAGGCAGGAAGGAAACATTCTGGTGTTGCTTACAGAGACTGCCTCTCCATTAACCCTTATTACATTCTTGGCAGGACTAGACTTCCTGTCTCTGGAACTTCTCTGGAGTTTTTTCCCCCTCCTTTGCTGGTACTTTGCTTGTGTGGAGGGACCATTCAAAGTTACAGTGGCACTGAAAAAAGTGACTTATGACCCCTTTTCACACTTATGACTTTTGTAGCATCCCGTGTCTTGAGGCCAGGCGAGGAGATGCGTGCCTCGATGTGAACGATATTGTGACACCCAGCCAGTCACATGACCAAGCCACACCCACCAACTAAGCCATGCTCATAGAACCGGTTGTTAAAAAAATTGAATCCCACCCCTGGATTACATGACCGTGGGACAACACAACCATCATAAACACGGGTGTGGAAAACGCTTGTCAGTCACTTTTAGTGCTGCTGCAACTTCAGACGGTCACTAAATGAACCGCTGTAAGTTGAGGGCAAGCCGTACAAGGACACAAAAGCACTGGTTTTGTCAGTGTGGCTTTATTTCTGAACGTCAACACAACGTAAACCTTGTGAGCCAAGGAGCTGGAACCCCAATATGGGAGAGGCCCCCCGGCAAAAAAAATCAACTCCCTTGTTCAGGCCCTCCTTCCTCGTGATGCAAGGAGGGGATCGCCACACAGCCTCCCGCTCGCTTTGGGACGACTGCGGGAAGCAAAAAAGGGCACTCTTACGACTTCTCTGTCCCGGAGACAACAAAAGGAGGATCTCTGCAAAACAGCTTGTGGGCGATGGAGCAACAGTACGAATAAATGGGCTCATCACACACAGACACGCCCCGGGGAAGAGGGGTGACAAGGGAAGGGCCCTGAGCCACCCTGGGGGTGGGGGGAAATGCTCCGGGGCAGAATCCCCCCCTGGAAAGGAACTGAGGAGGGGGTGGCCCCGACCGGGGCTTTGTGGGGCTACGAAGAACAGGGCGACGGGCAAACCCAACAGAAAGAGACGTATATTTTCAGAGTCCGCCCGGCACGGAGTCAGGCTGACCAGGGGTGAGGTCAAGACAGCGAGACTTCCAAGGTGTGCGGCCAGCTACTTGGAATGGCCAGCTCTTCCAATATGGCCAGGAAGAGGCAGAGAGGTCAGGAGGCTTCGAAGTAACCTTCCTTTCCATCGCAAGTCGGTCCCTTTTTCCAGGAACTGCCTTCAAGCTGGATTCCCAGCTTCCCAGACTACCCTTTACTGGGAGGTGTAGTAGCCAGACACCGCCCCCCCACACCCCGCCCTGGTTGAAGGGAGCCCACGAAGGTAGTATTTTTCTCTCTTGCGGGAATCCTTCCCTCCTGCTCCCACCTCCATTCGAGAAAGTCCATTTTGGCAAGGAGCCCAAGCCAAGCGCCGGCAAATTCGGAAGGTCCAACCAGGGGGAGGGGAGGGGAGGGGCGGGGGAGACCCCAGGAGCAGCCTCAGAGAATCTGAATGCCCAGTTCCTCGGCCGTCCTCTGCAGCCTGTCCATCACGTTCTCCTCTGGCTCAGGGACAAGCCCGCTGGGCACAACTGCCCGGCTCTCAGGAGGGGCGTTTGCCATCACGTAGTAAACCGTCTCGTTCTCTCCGTGCTCGTTGGTCCTGTTCACCACCCGGATGATGGGGCTGGGAGGGGCACTCGGCTCACAGTCCGGAGTCTCGCTGGCCCGCGGTGGCGCAGAGCTCTCGGTTGGCAGGGCAGCGGGCAAGTCTGTCTCCGCTGGCTCCTCTGTCGGTGAGTCCAGGATGATGCCCTGTAAGCCGCCTTCTGACCCGGCCAGCACCACGCACTGGGCCGCGTCCTCCAGAGATTCTCCCTGCTTCTCGCGGTCCTTCAGGAGCTGCTCGGTTAGTTCCACGCTTTCGTACCGCACCAGCTGAAGGCGCATGTACCCGTCCTCATGTTCTTTGTACCTAGTTGGGGGTGGCAGAGGCTGAGATTAGCAGGGAACCATGCCAGGCAGGGGGGGCTAGTCCTTGGCGTCCCAGAACCATCGATTACAAAAATCTGGTGAACAGCGACACACACTTCAAAGCTGCTATTATGCCACTTCTTTGGCAAATACTTGATTTGTCCAGAAATCTCGAGCAAGGTGAGAAGGATCTACATTGTTTTCTCCACCTTGCCTGGCATTTATTTATTTTTTTAAAAAAAGGGCTCAACCCTAGTGAAAGAGAAATAATGCCAGCAGCCTCATCTGACGCTTCTAGAGGATTCCAGAAAGGGTGCCAGCTATCTTCTTACTCACCCTTCTTCCAATTGCTGCAGGCTACACTTCTAGGCCATAACTTGGAAGAGCTTGCAAAGTTTCAAACTGGCCTCGCTGGGAATGTGCCACAAATTGCTTCCTTTTGACCCCATTAGATCAGACAAGCCACCAAGAGATAATAAGGTACATGCCCAACGCGTGCCAGAATTAACCAGCCTATCCAAAACCTCCTAGATTTAATCAACCACAAACATTTTCCTTCTTAACTCCGCTTCTGATTTGAGGACAGCACAGTTTGCTTCAGGGGTGTTCAGACAATCTGCTTCTCCAAAAATACCCATTTGCAAACCAGTCAGATTTTGAGCTAAAACTTCCAGCTGTCCTGAAGTTTAATCCAATTCTTTGGAGGAATGTAATGAGAAGACTAGGAAATCTCCTCCTCTCCTTTTCCTTTTGAGGAGAGGGGCTGAAGTGGGAAAGTGAAAGTGACCTGCAGAAGCCCTTTGGGCAAAGAAGTCTTCTGCTAGCAGCTTAACAACAAGTCAGTTTCTCCCTGTAAACCAAGAGTCCCCAAACTTGGCAACTTTGAGACTTGTTTGGACTTCAATTCCCAGAATTCCTCAGCCAGCAGAGCGGAGGAATTCTGGGGGTTGAAGTCCACAAGTCTTCAAATTGCCAAGGTTGGAGACCCCTGCTGTAAACTGAAGTTCACGCTCTCTCAACAGGGCCACAAAACCATCAAGCCTATGTCAGCACCGCCCGACCCTGGTGTTACCTGAAACGAGGATGACCTGACGGCCACTTGAACTGGTGCTTCTTCCTGAGGTGGACTGTCAGGTTGTTCCCTCGTGTGAAACACTTGTCACAGACGTGGCACTTATATCGGGGCTCTGAATCACCCTGAGGGAGGATGGAGCAAGGAGAGAGAGGAATGGTTAGAGAGGCGTTTTCTCTACCCACGGGTGAAACTCCCGCACTTGAAGGAATCAAGTTTTTGGTGTTCTGTTTGTAAAGCAAGTCTGTAGATCCTCTAAACAATAAATTGGATTTCTAACTATGAAAATAAGGATAGTAATAATAACATACCTTTCGTGTTATTAAACAGCAACATCTGCCTACCCCAAGTTCTTGTGAAGTAAGTGGTCAAATGCCAAATCCAGTCTAAACATTTTGCTAACTGTACAACCATAACCATAACAGCGGGGGGGGGGGGGGGGGGGGGGGGAGGAGGAGAAGGCGGTGAAGAGGAGAAGCAGAAGGAGAAGGAGGAGGAGGAGGAGGAGAAGGAGAAGAAGAAGGAGAAGGAGAAG